TTTTCTCTTAAATTTTAGCCTGAAAATCATGTAATCGTGCTGGCTAAACATCAATCAGTGAATTACCTACCACTGAAAACAGTGAATACCCAGAGAACATGCATGTCTCTCTCTCTAAAAGACATCTTTAAGATGCACCCTCAGAAAGGATTTCTGTTACCGGGACAAAAAAATATTCTTAACGTATTTATATTTCTCACGACCTCATTCGGTATAAAAATAAGACCATATCAAAATGAAATCAAGAATTCTCATTCTCCTCTATCGAATTAAAAGAAGATTGACTTACTATATTGAGACAAGAGTAACTCATATAAATGTAAGCTTATATATTCTTGCGTTTAGAATAAAATTTCCCCCCAGCTTACAACGCACGAAGTCGGCGCCGCGATATTCGACAAAAGACGATACATACCGTCATTTTATTCTAGATTTTCCATTTAAGATTAAAATATTCCCTTCTGTATAATCGATCCTATTTTATGATACATTGAAGTGTAATAGCATTGGGCCCAGAAATTTTTTCTGTACTCTCTAACGGGTGTACTCTCTAACAGTTAATCGGTAGATTGTCACTGAAAATCGCGAATGTTCAACGATTCCCGGTTATAATTAATTATTCAGTGCTATATTTATAACTGTTTTTAGTGATAATGCGCCGATCAACTTTTAGAGAGTAAGAGGCTAAAAACTGATACGAAACCGACACGGTTTCTTCGCAAGCGGCACAAATTGTTACCAGCTGCGCTCTGTCTTGTTCGCGTCCTTTTTAGTATTTCTGAAGAATCTTCACCCGCGTTATTTCAAGATATACATAAACTCGCAAAGAACCTCCGTTCGGGATCAGCCGCTACTGTTCCCGGCGACTGCGTTGAAATCGAAAGATTCGCAGGTCTGACAAAATATATTTTCCGCGCACGTAGAGGCATGAATTCAAATCGTCATTAGCTTAGTTTGATGGCTGCGAATGTTGACGCATCCTTGGCTTTAATATTAGTTTAGACGGGAAGAGGCGGGGAAAGGAAACGGGGACCGGAACAGGGACGAGAGCCAGCGGAAAGGCATTCATTTAACAGAGTTCGCGGATATAAGTGGGTTTTGATTAGCCTCGAACTTGAGTATACCGCGGGAGTTGAGAATGGAGTGCATTTGAATCCCAAATTCATTGCTAATGCGGTTGTATGATCTATGATCTGCGCAAACACTCGACGACCGCGTATTTGAGAGGGATTATTTTTCCACGAACCTCGGCTCTCTGCCTCTCAAGATAATGGGCCGCGCGGATTTCGCGTTCGCTGAAAAAGTCGCGAAGCTGCCGCTTATCTTGTCGCGAATATCTACTCTCTAAAAGACAATCCATTGATCGTCACTGAAAACGGTGAATAGTCACTGATTTGCAGCTTTAACTATACCACTGCGATTTTCAGTTATAACTGCACGGAAAAGCAAATCATGTAACAACGAGATCAGTGCCCGCACAGAAAATATCTAATAAATATCCAATAGATATCTATGGTATACATATCCATATGACGTCCATACCCATACAGCACAGAAAGTTAAAATGATGTTGCTGAAACGTTGCAATGCTGAATGTTGAAGTATAAATATCTTTTCCACGGTTGAATCTAGGTTAATGTTTGTACATTAATTCTTTATATTGCTGCAGCGTTAAAACAATCTTGAACAAATTATTATTTTTTGACACTCAAATAGATACTTAAAAAATATATAATTACGAAATGTATATACATAATATTTTTGCAACGGTCAGAAATTTTCTGAGCTAAGATTGGATTATTATTTTAGTGGAATAATTCAATTTCAGCACTTCCAACAGTTGTGAAAAATATTCTGCTAACGCGGCCAATGTTAACTCAATATAATTTAACAATGTTTTCTGAATGTTGAATCGTAACGTTTACAAGACATTACAATTCAGCGGACATTAGACGTTTTTGCAATATCTTTTCAACGTTGAATCTACATTTCGTAACATTGATGTAATATTGCAGTGTTGTAATGGAACGTTTCTGAGATGTTGATTCAACGTTTGTGTGCTGTATGAGATAGCTATTATGAATATCTAATAGATATCCAATAAATGTATAAAATGTCTCTATCTTCCGCATAACCAGCGAGGATATCTAAGGGATATGCACATATGATCCACATATCCACATTCACCAAATAGCTATCAAGGATATCCATTAGATATTTATGTGTCGTCCACATATCCATGTCCACCAAATAGCTACCAAGGATATCCATTAGATATTTACGTATCGTCCACATATCCATGTCTACTAGAGCTGGGATTTTTCTTCGAAGATTCGAAGTTTCGAATTTTCGCATATTCTAAGCCAACTAATGTATTAACAAGATAGAAAACAATAACAAATTTTGCAAAATTAATCATTTTTATTATAACTGTGAACTAATTAAATGCCAACTAATCAATGTCATTGTAAAGTATAAAAAACAAACGTACTTTTTGTCGGACACATATTTGTCCATTCGCTCATAAAAACACAATTCATCATCATCGCGAATTGATCCTCGAGAAACCGTTGGAAACGACTATAGATATATTATATTTATTGTGACCGACTGCCTTGATTCGAAACACAAGAATAGAAGATATGGACAGTAGTGTAATTAAATGAATATACGAAATGTTAGTTGATCGTTGAACGGGAATCTTTTGATTTATGTGTGACGAGTAAAGTTTATAACATTAGTGTATAATCCGGGTATACATTCAAGCCACTTCATTTTTCTTTAATTCAACGGCATTTTTTCCCCCGCGTGCAAATCAGCGACCGTTCGCTGTTTTCGGCGATAATCCACCGATCGACTTTTAGAGAGTGCGGGCTAAGTGTCGACCTGTTAATCGCGAAAGTGAGTCTCGTCGGGTTTCGAACTCGCGACGATCGCGCACGTTTCGAAACGCGAAAATAACTGAAGATATCCGCAAACGAGAGAATGAAGCTTTAATAGAAGCTACACACTCCGGATGAAAGCTGAGATAGAATGCGGAGAATTTTAATTTGCCATTTTACTTTTTCTTTGTTGTCTTTTTTTTCATACGGACGAATTGTTCGAATTTTTAGCAATACTCGGGCGCGGATATTAACAGCCAGGAAGTAGCAACGCCGGCGCGATATAATTAGATTATTTCTAAGATACGGGCAGAGGGCCGGGGGAGGGCGGGGGAGGTGTTATAAATTCTCATTGCATTCCGTAAATCGACCAGGGAGGTCGGGATAAACTCCAGGAATGCTACCGCGTGGGTGGATTCCAACGCGGAGCTGCCTTTATGATCGCGTCGTTATAGCTAAGAGAAAGCTTGTACGCGCGCATTTTTTACGACGACATTTTTTACGGTCCGCGCCGCGCACACGCGCGTATGTGCACACGTATACCTATCGCGTGTATTTCCCAACGTATCAGAAGGGTGGCAGGATGCTACGCTTGCAGGCGCGGCGTTCCCGCTTCCGAGTTAGATTTATGCCGCCAGCTACACCTTCCGCTTTAATCGCACGCGAAAAATAAAAGGACAGGGCCTTTTGCCGCGTAAGATCCGCGCGGCCGGAAAACGCGAGCGCGTTCGACCCCGTCGTCGCTCGTCGCCTCATTAAAGAACGTCGTCTTCCCCGAGCAACCCTCGAGCTTCCCTCCTGCCGATCGAGTAACGACCCTCCCCTCCTGACGCCCGTAAGGCGGGCACGTATGCTATTAACTCACGCGATCGTCATAATCTGTCATAATTTGCATTTATAAATTTACGCGCGACACTCGCTTATAAATATTTCCGTCACGCGAGACGCGCATATTTTTGCTCTCTTTTTTTTTACGAGCTCGTGTCGCAACGTAGTTTTTTCCCCTGTACTAGCGAGCGTAATGAAAAAAAATTACTTTAATATACGCGGTAAATCGTCGCTGAATAATTATCGCCGATGAAATTATCGTAATAATTGTCGGTAGCGCGGGAGGAGAAGGGATTTACGAGAGGCATTCTCCGCGCGAAAGATTAAACATTTGATTCCTCGCAAATCTAGCAACGCGATTGTCTTGATTCGGTCAGTCGCGATAAAAGTAGTCGAACTGTAAACAAAGCTCGGATCTTTCTCCATAAGGATTACGCACCGTGGTCGTACAAAAGGCACGGCAAAGCCGCTTTTGTATCGAAAATGCTTTATCCATAATCGAATCGACATTCACGAGCAAAATCGCAACGTAGCGAAACAGCACGCTTTATCGCGTTTTGTGCATTTTCCGATCTTTGTTAACACATTTCTCTTAAAAATGTGCAGAATACGAAATCACGCTTTCGATAGTCGACGTCGTTTCTTGCATTTTAAGAACGAACGCATCGCTTGCGATTTTCGGTAAAAACGAGCAGAGGAGAGAGGTGTCGAATAAATTCTGATAACATTTCGCAGTGATAAACTCCAGGCATACTATTGCCGCACACGTGGATTTCAGCGCGTATGGTAAAATATCTTTAAACGCCTTCCGATTGCTCGTAAGTTTCCTCAATCGATTTCACATGATTTTCATTTACAAATGGAATATTTTTTTATGAGAAGTAAAGGTGGCGTCGAATAAATTCTGATAACACCTCGCAGCGATAAACTCCAGGCATATTATTGCCGCACAGGTGGATTCCAACGCGTGTGGAAAGGTGTCTTCAACTTTAAGACGTCTTTAAACTTCAGATTGCTCGTCAGTTTACTCGATCGATTTCACTTAATTTTAATTTACAAATGGAATATGTTTTTCACGAGAAGTAAAGAAGAAGATACTGAGCTTGTCACGACGATGTTCCCTGCGCCTCTCGGTCGAACGACAATGGGGGACATTTCTAGTTACCGTAAAATTCGTGGGAGCATTATCGCAGCTACTTTGCCTCCCTCCGCGAAATTCGACTGCGCTCTCCGTTATTGTCCTCCCCCTTTCTTCGTATTCGCCCCGAAACAATTGGACACAATTTACAGCCCTCACGCCAGTTATGCTGTCGCTGTCGGGTCCACTGCTGGGCGCCGTGGTGGGAGCCACAGCGGGGCTGCTCCTGGTGATCTTCGTGATCGTGCTCGCTGTCAAACTCCGCTATCGACCCCGATCTCAGGAGGACTCTCATGACGACGGCGGCATGGCGAACCTGGCGGCCTCGGGGACCGGCGCCTCGTCCCCGCGTGACAAATCGTCGACCTTGCCCCTCAGTGCCGATAGCATCGAGAGCTTCGAGAAGAATCCCGATATAATACCGCACGCGAACGGTAGGCGAGAGTACCTGTCACTCCGCATCGCGGCATGCTCCTCGATCTGGTTTATCCGGCGATTGCATGATAAACGCGGCCTCCCCCCCCCCGCCTCCCCCCCGTGTAAGACAAATCGCTCTTGTATCGTCGCTGTTAACCGCCGGAATGCTTTTCCAGAGACCAATTCAATCGCCGATAGATTATCTCGGTGAGAATATAACGCGAGCGATGCACGATTGTTGGTGTAAAACCTCCCCCGCGTTGGCGGTTTCTTTATTTTAAAAGTGTTTACGAAAAACGACGCTTTTTTTCACGACCGAGTTATCTCCTCCCTTTTAGGTTTTCAGTTTCGGTTGATACATTTGTTGTTACAGTGAATGCATGTTAAATCGTTTAGCCCTTTTGAATTCTGCAAGTGGGACTTGTATGTCCCAGAGGTCGCTAAAGGGTTAATTAATTTTGTAATTATGCGCAACTTATTCTAATTTAAATACAAGCTCAAAGGAGCAGAGTAATTATTCCTGTACTTTATTATATTATAGAGAATTCATATGCAGAACTATGCAAAAGTGCGTCACCGCGATACGTGCTGCAACAGCAACGCCCGGAAACGAATACCTTTGCAGCAGCAAACAACGTAAGCTCAGCAATTATGAATCTAAAATAATAGCAAATTCAACACTTAGTCGCGATCAGTTGCAATTAATTTCTAATTATATGCGTAAGCACGTTTATAAAAACGCAGCTCACAAGTCTTATGGAAGTAAATGTAGCTCGATTAATAACTCTTTTTTTTTATTCGTAAAAAATTGAGCAACACTTCGTGTTTATCTACTTTAGAAAAATTAGATTGATTTGATAAAATTCCCGGCTGTGATTTAATAATCGACTGATCGATTGTATTACAAGTGCACGCGATCCGATAACGCGTGCCCGAATCGGATTCTTAATCGACCGAATTATATCGTTCAAATTCTGAGAGCAACATTGTTGTCTTAGCAGGGCTCGGAGCTAACATACGTCGAATTAGCACTAAGGGGAAACCGACGAATACCTCCGAATTGCTACCAGCCCGTGCAAATCTCCAGCATCCAGCGGCCCCAGCTGCTGCCCATGTCGACTTTGACGCGCAGACAGCCTATCCAGGAGCCGACGATTTACGCGCAAGTCGCCAGTCATTCTAAACCGATTTACGTGCCACCGCCGCACCCGTACATGAATCGCTCCAGCGACGAAACTACGGCGGAGACACCATTGATCGGACACGACAATAAGGTAATAGGCATGCAAAAGTGACGAGACTGACTTTTGTCGCAGTCTCGGTAGGTTCATCATTACGTTTAATCAAGTCCTTTCTGCTATAAGATTTTCTAAAGTGGCAAAGGACAATTAACTTGGAAATAATTTTGTTATTTAAGTATTAAATCATTTAAATTTGAATATTTCGAGGCTCGGCGTGTGTAATTCTCGAGAAAATTGGAAAAACGTCATCATTACGTTTTTGTCAAGTCCTTTGTGCATACAAGATTTTCTAAAATGGCAGAGGAAAACTAATTAGAAAATGATTGTGTGATTCAAGTATTAAGTAATTTGAGTTTGAATATATTTCGAGGTTCGGTACGTTTAATTCTCGACAAAATTAGAAAAACGTCATCATTACGTTTTTATCGAGTCCTTTGTGCTACAAGATTTTCTAAAGT